ATGTGTTCCAATTCCAGACACCTAATCCTACTGACTTTCTGAAAAACATTATTCAGAGGGCGTTCACAATTGTAAAGTTGGGAAGAAAAGGTGATTAAAAACAACACCAGCTAAGCACATCTTTGTTGCTGTTGCTAATCCTCACACAAGGATCTATTTCCCATTGATTTTTAGTGGAAGGGAGGGGGAGAGACAGAGAGAGAAACATCAATGTGAGAGAATCACACTGATTGGCTGCCTCCCCCTTGTGCCCTGACTAGGGCCTGCAATGGAAGTATGTGCCCTTGACTGGGTTCCAGTCCAACGGCCAACGCTCTAACCAGCCAGGCAAAACTAAGCACATGGTTAAAACGAGGCAGCTTTTCATTCCAAGAAGTACTGAACAGTTTTACAATAAAGCAAACCTAGCTATAGTATATTGCTTGACTTACATCACTCACAGTAAAAAGACTGTTGGATAACCCTAGCCGGTTTGGCTCAGTGGATAGAGTGTTGGCCTGGAGACTGAAGGATCCTGGCATCGATTCCAGTCAAGGACACATGCCCAGATTGAGGGCTCAATCCCCAGCAAGAGGCAGCCTATCAATGATTCTCTCTCATCATTGATGTTTCTATCGCTCTCTCCATTTCCCTTCCTCTCTGAAATCAATAACAATACATTTAAAATATAAACAAATTTACTTTTAAAAAATGTTGGATAGTGAGCCCTAAATGGTTTGGCTCAGTGGATAGAGCATCGACCTGTGGACTCAAGGGTTCCAGGTTCAATTCCGGTCAAGGGCATGTACCTTGGTTCTGGGCACATCCCCAGTAGGAGGTGTGCAGGAGGCAGCTGATCTATGTGTCTCTCTCATCGATGTTTCTAACTCTCTATCCCTCTCCCTTCCTCTCTGTAAAAAAATCAATAAAATGTATTTTTAAAAAATAATAAAATAAAAATAAAAATGTTGGATAGTGTATTAACCAAAACTTGTATATATTGTATGCATGGAGGATGAAGCTAGGGAAAGTGGGAATCTAGAGTGCTAAATCTTTATCTTCCATATGGGAAGTCAAAAGTTAAATCCTAAAGTTGAGCTATCAAGAAACAGCAGCATAAGCATATTATTTAGAAATATGCAGGTAAATATATTTAAACACACACACACACACACACACACACACACACACACACATGTTTAAGAATTGGGGAATGGGGCCTACCTCAAGCAAGAGACAATTCTCCAGCAGGTTCCCTTTGGACATCATCTGCAGCATCAGCCTTTCCTGGTTGCACAGCAGCCTTCCGATTAGAACAGGAACATTAGCTCTCCAGGGCCTCCAGCTTGCCGTCTGACCCGGCAGATATTGAACTTGCCGGCATCCATAGTCACATGTGCCAACCCTTACTTTTTAAATATATGTATAAAAGGATTGGGGAATAGTGCCCGGCTGGTGTGGTTCAGTGGTTTCAGTGGTTGAACGTCGACCTATGAACCATGGTTCAATTCCCGGTCAGGGCACATGCCCAGGTTGCGGACTTAATCTTCAGTGGGGAGCATGCAGGAGGCAGCAGATCAATGATTCTCTCTCACCCTTGATGTTTCTCTCCTTCTCCTTCCTCTCTAAAATCAATAAAAATATATTTTTTAAAAAGAATCGGGGGAATGGGACTCTGGGGTAGAATAAGGTGGGGGCAGTAGACACCTCTTTTATAACCTAAACTTGTAGTACCTTTTTTTTTTTTTTTTTTTAAAGAAACTATCCTTGTGCATTTATTACTTTGATAAAGAAGAGTATTTCCAAAAAGCCTACAAATTCTAAGCTCTATCCCTTACCTCAAGATCTTACTGCTTAGCCATAGACACATTTAATTAGGTGCACTCTGGTAGGCATTGGGTGGATATTTGGGAGGACAATCTGACAGACCGGAGCGTTGTGCTATGTGGGAGTACACGCAGTTGCTTCTTGCCTGTCTGGTACTATTTCCCAGTCTGTATCTAGAAAAATATCCGTTCCTGTCGCATTAGTTGTCTGTCACTGTATAACAACTTCTCACAAAACTGAGTGGCCTAACACAACAAACATGTATTAGCTCACCGCTTTTGTGGGCCAGCAACTCAAAAACAGCTGAGCCGGGTTACGTGACTCAGGTCCTAAGGATGTTGCAATCGGGACCAGGGCTGCAGTCACCTACAGGCTTGCTGGGCTCCCTCCCCGGGCTGCTGGCAGCAGCCTCCGTTTCTTGCATTCTGACCCTTGCCATGTGGGCCCCTCCATGGATCTGCTGGTGTGTCTTCATCACCGGACAGCTGGCTTCCCACAGAGGGCATGATCCAAGGGAGAATAAAGAGGAACTCCAATGCATTTTATAACCTGGTCTCTAATCACATACTGTCTCTCCCGCTGTAATCTATTTGTTCAGAGCACGGCACTAGATCTGACGAATGGGGGGTGGAGGGGTCGAGAGTGGGGAATACCAAAAAATTTGTGTACGTATTTTAAAACCACACATCCATCAATGCTACGTTATAGGTAAGTAGGAGACAATCCTTAAATAATTCTTTGAAGATTTAAATCTATCTCATTTCTTTTATTGACCCCCCCGCCCCGGGAAAAAAAAATCACAAACAAACAAGTTAGTTCTACTTTCTCATATCTCTTCTTTTCTACTCTGTGATATTGTAAGTTCCTTGAGTCCTGATGGCATTTCTTAGTCTTTCTGTATTTCTGCTTACTTATCATGGTGTCTGACATACATCTTTATTCCTTCAGGAATTTATCTATATAACTATTTTCTGGGTTTACAATAATGAGCAAGAAATAGTCACAGTTCTTGTTTTTCCTGGAACTTATAGTCTATTGAAGGAAAGGACACTAACCATTTCATCAGACTTATGAATGTGTAATTACAAATTGAGCTACATTTTCTGGTGGAAAGGGATAGTCTTACAGGTACAGATTAAAAAAAAAAAAAAGGAGCAGGGCTGTTCTGATGCAAGCATAGGGGAAGTAGACAGGCTCATCTGAAGTTGAAATTTTGCCAGATGGGCAAGAGAAAGAGAAAATGTATCAAGGGGGTCTAAAATATTGGTGTTGAAATAACACATTAGTATGTGCTCATAAAGAGTTATTGAATTGAACCAACTGTGCTGTCTTTTTTCTCTCTGCTTTATTCTCTCTTCTTTACTTCCTGACGTCAGAGGTGCTATATTTTGATGTGGATGGACTCGTTTGACCAGAATAGTTGCAGCTGAGTGGGAGAAGGGCCTATTCCTGCTCAATTCATTTTCCTTGTTTATTATCTGCTGCCATTCCCAGTTATGCTTAGAAACACAGAATAGAATATCCACACAACTCACATACTTTTCCAAATAAATTTGAAGACATCGTTTATGTGAGTTTGATAACTTAACTCACATAAATTTACACTTTATATGTATAGATAGGCTATTCCTACTAAAACTCAAAATTCAGAGCCAAGGGATAAGATGAAATTGAATGGACTCTATTTGGAGAACTTGACAGATTCTACTGGAACAACAGCAAAATCTCCCCAAGAGCAAAATCTCCCCAAGGCTGGGAAAGGTACAGCTCCAGAGACCTACCCTGCAAAAATTGAGGTCATTACTTCCCTTAACATAAATAATTTAAAATAACATTATTGAATGCTTACTATGTGTCAGACTTATCATGTTAATGGCTGTAGGCATTCTATCTTATTTAATGCTCTTTAGCATCCCTAAGAGAGAGGTACAATTATTATGCTCATTTTACAGATCATCGAAAGATTAAGTAATTTGTCCAAAAGCACAGAAATCTGACAGTTCTATCAGACTTCAAATGTCTGACTCGGCCTACTTGAGCATCTTTATCTCGTGCCTCACATCTCCACATCCCACCCCTTTCCGTTCTCGTTGGCCTCCTTTCTGCTTCTGAAGTGAGCCAAGGTCGTCTTCACCTTAGGATCTCTGCACTTGCTCTTTCTTCTGCTTGGAAGGTTCTTCTCCGCTTTGTTGCACGACTGGGTCCTTATTTCAGATATCTGTTTTAAATGAGTTCCCCTCACCTTGCTCTGTAACATTACCATGTTTTACTTCCAGTACAGCCTGGCCAGTTTGGATGACTGTGGTTCTGTGCACCGAGCTGGATTCCCAGTCAGAGCACATACTGGTATACGGGTGCCCCAGTCAGGGCATGCACAGAAGGCAATTGAAGGCAACTGATCAACGCTTCTCTCTCTCTCATTGATGTTTCTCTCTGTGTCCCTTCCTCTCTTAGCATATCCTTCGGTGAGGATTTTTTCTTAAAGTATTAATTACGGTATATAATTTATTACATTCTGAGATTACTTTTTTTTCATCTCCCCACCAGATTGTGCACCCTTAGCACCTCTTTCATTGAATGAAGAAATGAATGAAATAGCCTCCTTCCGCACCTAGAGGTCCTGGATAGTAGGACTGTGTTATACCGATAGACCATCAAAACTATATATAGCCAAAACCGGTTTGGCTCAGTGAATAGAGCGTCGGCCTGCGGACTGAAAGGTCCCAGGTTCGATTCCGGTCATAGAGCATGTACGTTGGTTGCGGGCACATCCCCACTAGGGAGTGTGCAAGAGGCAGCTGATCAATGATTCTCTCTCATCCATGTCTCTAGCTCTCTATCCCTATCTCTTCCTCTCTGTAAAAAATAAATAAAATATATTTAAAAAAACCCAAATCTATATATAAAGATTGCACGTTCCCTACTTCATTCTGAACTCAGTTTGTTACAAAGCCTTTTGTGGTTCCAGGACAGCCAAAGTGACTTCAGAATAATATAGCGAGATCTCTTGGAATGACCAGAATAACAGCACCCTGCTTTACCCATCCCGACCAGCAGGGGGGCGGTGCGGTCGGAGGCCTCTTTCAGTGCACGCCTAAGTCCTAGAAAGGAGCGACGGGGCAGAGAGGCGGAGCCAACAGAAAGGGGGCGTGGCTTAGCACGGAACCCCGCCCTCCCAGGGAGGCTGTCCCCCCGCTCGCCCCGCCCCCACCCCCGCCCGGGCGGCCATGGCCCTTCCCGGCATCCCCTATGAGCGGCGGCTTCTCATCATGGCGGACCCTAGAGATAAGGCGCTGCAGGACTACCGCAAGAAGCTGCTGGAGCACAAGGAGATCGACGGCCGCCTCAAGGAGTGTGAGTGCGCCTCTCTCTCCGCGCGGCCTCGCCCGGCCTGCTCCGGCCCCGGCGCGGCGGAGGCCTTTGGCGGGGCCCGGCCCCCGGCCCAGGCGACGGGCAGGCCGCAGTCCCGGGACAAGGCGCTTTGTCATCGCGCCCCGAGGTCGGGGAGCAGAGCCTCCCCCGCGGGCGTGGAGGGGGCCCGGCCCGGCCCAGGGGACAGGAGGAGCATCTCCAGCTCTGGGATGGAGTGCAGGAGGACCCGAGGGGCCAGGGGAAGGGGGCCACCCGGGGATGCTGCCCAGGTGGGGTGCAGGGTGGGCAGTGTGGGCGAGGGCCGAGAAGGAGAGATGGGGGTCAGGTTCTTGCTGCTCCAGCAAGAGGTGGCCCTCGGGGAGCTGATCTCCTTGTTAGTGGAGTGGAAAGCCGGGCGAGGAGTCTGAGAGGGAGGGCGTCCTCCCGTCATAGTAACCCTCCTCGTCTTTGCGATTTGTACTCCGCCGGGCACACAAGTTTCCCTTAAAGGACACTTGGTAGTTTTTTTATTAGTGCACCTTCATGGAATTAATTACATGAAGCTCATAACCATATTCTTCTGCGAGCACCAGACCTGTTGCCCTTCTTTAAGGCAAGAAAGCCAGAGAGCAATCATAATAATCCGTGCGAGTAGGTGAAGAGGTGAGGAAGGGTCTACCTTGTTACCGTTGGGATTTGTAGTGGCCAATCCGGAAGTGTCACAGTATCAACCTCTGCAAGAGTGTAGCCTAAAATGTGCTTAAACAACTTAAGTATTGCCGATCCAAAAAACAATGATGCTTTCTCCATAACATGTCATTTTTAAACGTGTCACCAATAAGCAGCGTTATTTCTTTTGTACTTCGATATATTGGATATAAAATATGTGTAACATGAGATTGACAAACTTAAGTGAGACTTAGCAACTTGAACCACTGAGATTATTGTTTAATTAAAAATGTTCAAATTATATTATTTCAGTAAGGGAACAATTAAAAGAACTTACCAAGCAGTATGAAAAGTCTGAAAATGATCTGAAGGCCCTACAAAGTGTTGGGCAGGTAGGTAATGGCGTTTTTTGGGTTGTCAGGGGTGATGATTGCTTTGTTTTTAAGCTACAGGCAAAAGATAATGCTTTCTTTTTTCTTTCTCAGATTGTGGGTGAAGTACTTAAGCAGTTAACTGAAGAAAAATGTAAGTGGATTACACTGTTACTTAGTAAGTTACTTACAATGCCTCACCACCAACTTTTGAAATGCTTATAAATGCTTAATAGTCACAATAGTGAAGGTAGATGCTATTCTTGCATAGACTTAATTTTTTTTTCTCTAACTATGTATTGTCGTCTTAGAGGACAAAAATAAGACTCAGCCTGCTGTCAATGTGGGTATATTTCATGTTACTTGCTATTTTTAAATGTTTTCTTTCATTTCCTTTTCTCTAGTCATTGTTAAAGCTACAAATGGACCAAGATATGTTGTGGGTTGTCGTCGACAGGTAACATTTTAAATTTATATATGCTTTATAATTGGCCAAAGTGCATTTATAAAAGTTATTTAATTCTTGAGGTAAGCAGGTCAGGTATTATGCCCATAACTCCCAAAAGTGATTTGTTAAGATATAACTGTTAGCAAAGCCTATAAACTAAAACCATGGGCTTTGACTCCTGGTATTGTCTACTTTCCACTGTACTTAGTTGCCTCAGTCAGCTCTACACACTTAGAAATCAAAGACTTTTTTTTTAAATATATTTTATTGATTTTTTTTTTACAGTGAGTTAGGGAGAGGGATAGAGAGCTAGAAACGTCGATGAGAGAGAAACATCGACCAGCTGCCTCTTGCACAACCCCCACAGGGGGTATGCCCGCAACCAAGGTACATGCCCTTGACCGGAATCGAACCTGGGACCTTTCAGTCCGCAGACTGACGCTCTACCACTGAGCCAAACCGGTTTCGGCAGAAATCAAAGACTTTTATTTTTATTTTTAAAATATATTTTTATTGATTTTAGAGAGGAAGGGAGAGAGATAGAGAGATAGACACATCTATGAGAAGGAAACAGCCATCGGCTGCCTCCTGCTCACCCCCGACTGGGGTTCAAGCCTGCAACCTGGGCATGTGCCCTGACCAGAAATCAAACGGTGACCTCATGGTTCATGGGTTGATGCTCAACCACTTAGTCGCACTGGCCAGGCAGAAAACAGAGACTTTTAGAATTAGATATAGCTCAGGTAGTTTTATTTTAATATATTTTTTGAAAGGGATTTAAGAGGATTAGATCCTGTCAATTCCTGTTTTATATTTAAATATTAATGTTATTTATAGATTGTACTACAGCTTAAATTTATTTTGTGTGAGTTCATTTAGATTAGAATAGGCAAATTGAAATAATTCCACATTTTATTTTGCGGTTATCAAAAATGCCAACAAATGGTTTTGAATAATAATAGCCTCTGAATCCAATTTATGTATTTCCCTATTCCAGTGGTCGGCAAACTGTGACTCGTGAGCCACATGCGGCTCTTTGGCCCCTTGAGTGTGGCTCTTCCACAAATGACCATGGCCTGGGCAAGTCTATTTTGAAGAAATGGCATTAGAAGAAGTTTAAGTTTAAAAATGTAGCTCTCAAAAAGAAATTTCAATCGTCGTACTTTTGATATTTGGCTCTGTTGACTAATGAGTTTTCCGACCACTGGCCTATTCTCTACGAAATATCCTTAGAGCATACTAGTACTTGTAAGTTCTTTGGAAGGAGCCTTCTCTGAGAATTTGTTATATCGGGTTTTTATAAACATTGATATAACATGGCTGTAGAATGGAATTTAACCCAGGGACTAACTCTAATCTGAGAATTTTGCATAGCATATAAATGGAATGACATTTTCCAAATAAAATATATTAGATGCCTAGTCTAACAGAGGATTATGTTCCTTTCAGGGCCCTCTGGACGCCAAAAGTTGGCATTTCTGCTCTAGCCAGTATGGCTCGGTTGAATGCCAGGCCATGGGCCAAGAAGTCACCAGTTTGATTCCCAGTCAGGGCACATCCCTGGGTTGTGGGCTGTATCCCCAGTAGGGGTGTACAGGAGGCAGCCGATTGATGTTTCTTCCTTTCCCTTCCTCTCGCTAAAAAAATCAGTAAAAACATAAACTAAGAAAAAAGTTGGCATTTCAAAGATATTTCATGGTTGTATGAGGGCAAGAGAGTACTTGAAAACAGGAAAATATTAGAAAAGCCAGAGTATATATTTCTTGTAGATGTTAATGTTGAAATAGCTTCACATTGATCTCATTTTAGCTGTTTTTCAGGTATCTCACTTGCAATTTCTTTTTTCAGTTTAATCTATTATATTAAGCCTAGTATTTTGCCTGCTTCTACTTAATTGTAATTGATACTAAATCCTAACCTTAGAACTCTTTGCAAAATTCTGTGGTAAGTAGTCAGTAATTTGTATGATTCTGAAGTTGTATTTGCAAGCAGTTTTTTAATCTATGAAAAAGTAACGTTAGCCTGGCCAGTGAGCGTTGACCTATTAACTAGGAGATTACCATTCAATTCCCAGTCAAGGTACACTGAGTTGTGGGCTCCATTCTCAGTGTGGGGTGTGCAGGAAACAGCCGATCAGTGATTCTCTCTCATCATTGATGTTTCTATCTTTCCCTCTCCTTTCCTCTATGAAACCAATAAAAACACTTTTTTTAAAAAGTAACTTTATTTATGAAAAGTAACTGAATGTGAGGTCGAACCTATTGGATAGATACTACACAATTCTACCCAAATAATTTACTCTGCCCAAATATACCAATAGTTTAGTATAGTTCATTCTAGTATAATACAGTTAGCATAGTGTCTGGCATAGAACAAAGCCATGAAATAATGGTGGCTATTTTGTTTTTAACAGTTTACTAAAAATCTCTAAAGGGGGAACAATGCATTTCCCCCTTATCTCCTATGATCAAGTAACACATGCTTCCCCAAAGGTATAGTTTTTAAAATAAATCCAATGGGCACACCACTTGCCTTCTCCCAAAGAGTTCACTTAACAGATTTCTGTATAAATGCCTTGGTAGCAATTGTTGAAGTCACTGTACTAGAGTGCCTGAGTGCGCATGAGTAGAACTGAGTGCGCATGAGTAGAACTACTATTAATGGGCCTTTGAAAGTAAAATACTAAAGGCCATTCCTTCTTTAAAAACAAGGTCATTTACATCTCAAACTTTGTGTATTAGTGATTTCACATATTATGCTGAGATTGCACAAAAGGGGCAGACGGAAATAACTGAATTATAATGTTTATAGCCTTCTGATGGCACGGTGCTAATGACCTAATATTACAGTTCTGCAGGGTAAAAAATGATTATTTGGCTTCTAGATATTCTCCTCTTTTTAAGTGTTTGACTCCTTTTGTTTCACAAAATTAGCTTGACAAAAGTAAGCTGAAGCCAGGAACAAGAGTTGCTTTGGATATGACTACACTAACCATCATGAGGTAAGTTTCCGATTCTATTTATTTTCACAGAGAGAAAATTTTATCCAAAATATGTTTTTAGAGATCACTGAATATTTTGCCACTTCTTCCCTTTTACTAATTCCTAATTAGTTTAAATATTTTAAAATACAATCACCAACATGTGCTTGCATCATTTATATTCTATCTGTAGGTTGAGAAAAAAAATTCATTTTAAAAAGAAAATGCATTCCTTGTCATTACAGGTATTTGCCAAGAGAGGTGGATCCATTGGTTTACAACATGTCTCATGAAGACCCTGGGAATGTGTCCTATTCTGAGATTGGAGGGCTATCAGAACAGATTCGGGAATTAAGAGAGGTTGGTAGTGTATGCTTTGGTTCCTGAATTTAATAATAAATAGTATTGGTTTTGAGATTCCTGAAGGGAGAAAAAGGATGAAAATTTACTTTGATCAAATAGTGGTTACTGAATATTATACATTTAATATTCTTGTTGAGAAGAACAGTACTGAATTTCTAGCTGTGAAAATTATGTTTGTTAATGTGAAGATAATTTGGAGTTAGAAAAATCCTGTTCTTTTTGACTAAGAATCTGTCTATCTTTAATAAAAATAATCTATCTTTTTATTTCATTAAAAATAACAATATATTTTATATATATGTGTGTGTGTGTGTATACACACACACACACACACACACACACACATACAGCTAATATTCAAAGTATCCCTCGGGAGTTCGATTGCTTGCTATGGTGCTCTCTGACCACGTGGTTGGGATGCATGGAATGAAGGAAGGTCCCAGCCGGCAGCCAGCCCTGATTGGTCCTGGTTGCCAGCCAGACCTAGGGACCCTACGCGTTAATGAATTTCGTGCACCAGACCTCTAGTAATTGATATAATTCAATGCTCATGCCTTCTGTGATTTTGATTATCATAGTAGGTTATTTGGGTCAGAGCACATCTAAATAATGTGTACTATAGTTTTTCCCATACCCTTATTATTGTTAGCTTCCCACCTTATAGTAGAGTAAGTTACCTGTGCCCTAAATATTTTCTTTTAGTAAAGCTGTTTACTGCTGTTTAAGAAAAATACTGGCTTTAAGGTAGCTTAAACCTTTAAGCTCTTAGTTGAAGAATCTAATCAATATTGCCTTGCTTCATAGCATAGGAGGCTTCTTAACAATTATCTTTAAAGCAAATTGATTCTTCTATTTATTTCAACCTAATTTAGTATGGAAGTATTTAAGAATGAATGAAGATACCACAATTTTCTGTGTATAAGACACTTCCATGTGTAAGATGCCCCCATGTATAAGGTGCCCCCCCAGTTTTCCAAACTAAAATTAAGAAATCAATATCTTAAACATAAAACAGAATGCATTTTTATTTAATAATTACTACAGGTAATGTTTACATACAGTACTATATTATGCAGCATATCACTTTATTCAGCCTCTCTTGCATCACTGCTCTCTTCTTCATCACTGTTAGTTTCAAACATACCAATTTCTTTTACTTCGACTGTATCACTGCTGTCTTCTGAGTCACTGTCTATATATGTGAGACCATTCTCATAAACTGGTGGCATTTTCTGAGCTTTGTTCCTGTTCTCATGGCCAACCCTTCTCTCCTCATGAAATTGAAGCACCATTTTGCCTTTCCTGTAAGATCAACAACATTCATTTCACTTGCAAACATTCTTGCCTGACATTGAATAAGCTTGGTGGACACACATAAGCCACTCTGGCGCTGTTCCATAGTCCAAGTCTTAAACCTCTGCTCCAAGTTTGCCCATTTTGCTGGTTTTCCTCGTAAGGCCTTCTTTTTTGGCCTCTTATAGAATTGTTCTTCCTGTTTTCTCCACTGTCTGATGATACACTCAGTGGGAGAAGGTCCAAATGGTCTCTCTGTAGCTCTATTTCCATGCTCTTTTGCATAGCTGACTACATTCAGTTTGAATTTTGCAGAGTAAGACAATCACTTCCGGTATTTATCTTTTTATTTTTTGACATCTTTATGGACTCAGAATGCTCAGGTCCCTGTTGCATCTGCACACTCTCCACCTCTACCTCCAATTATAGTATCAGCCGATGTCACTAACAATAAGGCTCGTGATTGAAGGAAGCCTGTTTGACGGTATGAGTGGTTCCCTCCTCAGCTGACCTCCGTGTATAAGATGCCCCTCGATTTTCAGTCTAACGATTTTGGAAAAAAATAGCGTCTTATACACAAAAATACGGTACTTGGAATGATGTACATCATCTGATTTAAACCCTAAACCAGTAGTTTTCAGAGGTTAATATATTAAATTTTCTAGAACTCTTATTAAAATGCAGATTGCTAGGCCCCCAGTTTGGTTCTGATATAGTAGGTTGGGAGTGGGACAAGAAATTAGCATTTAAACAAGCGTTCCAGATAATTAGGTAACCAAATTGTGTTTTGACCATAGTTGAGGAAGCATTGGCCTGAGTGTAAATTAGAGCCTGTTTTTCTCACTTTGTAGTTAATGAAAGGTCAACAGGAAAAAAATGCTTCATAGAGCAAAGAAATCTTATCTTTTATAGTGATTTGCTGCAGCAGGCAGAGGAGCAGATAGAATCCCTCTCTATTTCTCACACACCCCAACCATATGCATATGCAATACCCTTTTCCATCTACATACACCTCAGAATACTGATTTCTCACACTGTTAGCTTGTCTTAATCGTACCTTATAGACACAACTATTCAATAGATGTTTATCTCTCAAGTTACTGATTCTGTAGAGAGATTAAATTGGGCAGGCAAATGCTCAGTTTTTCCATTCTCCACTTTTTTTTTTCTTTGAATCAGTCTTAGTAGGATCTTGGAAGCAAAATACTTGGTTCTTTTAAAGTTGCTATGACAAAAATGCCAAAATATGAAAGTTTTATATTCTTTTTTACTTAATGGCAGTTATAATTTACCAAATTCCCCATTTTGGAATTATTTTGTACTAGAGGCCCAGTGCAAGAAATTCATGTACAGGTAGGGTCCCTGGCCGCTGGAACCTCCCTTCCCCTCAGCAGCCTGCTGCCCCTGCCCCCTGGTCAAACTCCCCATCAAACTCCCGGTTGAGAGGACAATTTGCATATTAGGCTTTTAATAGGTCTAGTAATAATTAGTGTCGTTTTCTAATACTTTTTTAAATCGAATTTATTTAAACAATACAACAAAATTTAATCAACAATATAGTTGCCGTTGTTTTCTACTACTTGTGCCCAATGCTCAGGAAGCATTTTAATCCCTCTGTTGTAAAATTCTTGTGATTTTGATGCCAAAAATTCGGTCAATGCATTTTTGAGGCATTCTTCATTATTAAATTTTTTTCCAAGAAGAAAGTTTTGCAAAGAACGAAACAAATGGTAATCGGAAGGGGCAATATCAGGAGAATATGCAGGTTGAGGGAGAACTTCCCATTCCAACTGGCGCAGTTTTTCAGCAGTGATTCTTGCAGTATGCGGTCGTGCGTTATCGTGGTGAAGAATTACGCCCTTCCGTTTAATCAGCGCGGGTTCTTTTTCTCTTAAAGCTTGGGCTAACCTTTCCAATTGGGCACTATACACTGCACTTGTAATGGTTTGGTTAGATGGTAAAAGTTCATAATGAAGAATTCCTTTAAAATTCCACCAAACACACAACATCACTCTTTTCGCATGCAAGTCAGGTTTTGGCGTGGGCTGCGGAGCCTCATTTTTGTCCAACCATTGAGGCCGCCTTTTCAAATTAACATACAGCACCCATTCTTCATCTCCGGTAACAATTTGCTCTAAAAACGGCAAACGGTTTTGACGAGAGAGGAGCGAACTGCAAATTGTGACTCTTTGATTACGGTTGTTGTCGGTCAACTCATGAGGAACCCATTTTCCAAACTTTTGGACTTTGCCAAGTGCACGCAATTGATTGGAAATTGTTTTCTGTGAACAATTTAAAGTTGTCGCAACCTCTTGTTGGGTAATTTGAGGATTTTGCACCAAAAGAGCTTGAAGAGCTTCTTGATCAAAATTGGACACATGGCCTCGACCATTCTTGTCATCTAACGAAAAATTTCCCTCGCGAAATTTCTCAAACCAACACTGGCATTTTCTGGTGCTAACTGCATCTTGACCAAGAGCACTACAGATGTTTTTTGCAGCCTCACTTGCTTTTCTTCCTAATTGGAACTCGTAAAGCATGCAGTGCCGAATATGCTCTTCATCCGCCATCTTCTTAGCCCTAGTTTTGCAACAAAAACCAAACCAAACACAAACTTTTTCAAGGAAAACTTGTTAATGGCACTTCACACGTTCTGTAGATACCACGTGTTTGAAGGTTATGTCAATACAAGTCAGCGCCGAGCAAGATTTTAAACGAATGTTTAAAAACGACATTAATTATTACTATACCCGATATTATATAGGATTGTATTCCCAAATACAAAACAGTATATGTTTTTTATTTTGATGCTTAACTGATTGTTTCTATAGTGGATTTTTTTTCATTGAGGCATAATTTACATTAAATAAAATGCAGAGATTTAGCCCTATCTGGTTTGGCTCAGTGAATAGAAAGAACATCAACCTGCAGACCAAAGGGTCCTGGGTTTGATTCCAGTTAAGGGCATGTAATTTGGTTGCAGGCTCCTCCCAGGCCTGGTCCCTGGTCAGGACGAATGCAGGAGGTAACCAATTGATGTGTTTCTCGCACATCGATATTTCTCTTTGTCTTTCCCTTTCTCTTCTACTCCCTCTAAAAATCAATGGAAAAATATCCTTGGATGAGTATTAAAAAAATCATAGATTTAAAGTGAACAGTTCAAATGTGTCTGGACAGATTATATACCTATATAACCATCACTCTAGTCAAGTGTGTGGTTTGTTAAAATAACCACACACTTTTTAATTAATGAATTTAAAAATATTTAACATTTTTTAGATGTAAGAGCTATCTAAGAAAAAACTCTAATATAAATAGTTTTACATAACATGGGATTCTAGTTTTATTATGAATTATGATACCTAACTACACTGATATTTTACTTAAACTCTTTGAAAGTACATCAAAATCTTTACCAATGTTTAAGAAACATGCAACTTCTTTTCTAGGTGATAGAATTACCTCTTACAAACCCAGAATTATTCCAGCGTGTAGGAATAATACCTCCAAAAGGCTGTTTGCTATATGGACCACCAGGTTGGTATGAATTATGTCCACTCCACTAATGAATGAATCAAGGAATAAATAAGTTGGCCACATGGTATTGGAGGCACTAACCCCCCGCGCGCCCCTCTCCCCCCCACACACAGTCAGAAACCTGCATATAACTTATGACTCCCCCCAAATCCCTTGGTATCCTCAGGCATTGGTTTTAGGTCCCACAGGGACATCAAAATGTGCAGGTGCTCAGGTCCCTACATAGAATGGCATAGATCAGCGCATATAGTTGGCCCTCCACCTGTGCAGATTCCCAACTGCAACTGAAAAACAGTACTGGTACTTATTGAAAAAGCACCACACATTAGTAGACCTGTGTGGTTCTTAACATGCCCTAGAATTCTAGTATATTGTCCTTTATGGTTCACAGACCTCTGGGTGTCCCTGAGACACTTGTAGGAAATCTGCAAGGTGAAAACTTAGTTTCATAATGCCAAGATCTTAGTTGCCTTTTTCAGTGTCGGTGTCTGTGCTGATGGTGTAATTGCAAGAGGTAAAACTGCTCTTGTAGCATGATTCAGTCAAGTCAGTGGCACAAAATGGTGCTGGTAGTCACTCTGCTTTTGACTGTTCACACTCGCAGTATTAAAATGCCAGTTTCACTTTAAAATGTCCGTGGTGAAGTAGTAAAAATTACTGTTATTAGATCTTGATACTTGAATGATATCTTTATTCTGTGTGATGAAATGGGAAATACATATAAAGTACTTCTGCATATTGAATAGGATAGTTAATCTCTTGTGCAATTATTTGAGTTGCTAGCTGAATTAGCTGAAAGGATAATTTTTAGATGGTCTGTAGTTATTGGTTATTCAGGCTGATTATTGGTTATCTGGCACATGCTTTTCAAAAGTAAATGAAGTTTGCTGGTCATAAGGAAAATAACTGACACCATTTGTAGCCAGTGATAAAACTTAACCTTTCAAGGAAAAATTCGAGTTTTAAAACCATATATATATATATATATATATATATATATATATATATATATATATTTGGCATTATGAGCTTAACAACTTTTTACTACATACTTAAAAGGATGAAATTGGTGATGATATTAACAAATGTGATCTTTTTAGTATTGTATAATGAAAAATATCAACATTTTGGAGATTTTCATAGCTCACTGAATGAATGGTTTCTAAATAATCAATACTTGATGTACAATACATGGGTTAAAGATCCATTTTGTGTGCAGAATAGACCAATGTGTTTTAATGTAACAAGTTCTTATTGTAATCTGTAAATAGGGTTTAATATAGTGTTTTGTTTTTTTTAATCCTCACTCACGGATATTTGTTCCATTGATATATATACATTTTTTTAGAGAGTGGAAATGAAACAGAGAGACTGAGAGAAACATCAATGTGAGAGGGCACAGTGACTGGTTGCCTCCCACATGCATCCCAACCCCAACTGGCCTGGGGATCAAGCTTGCAACTGAGGTACGTTCCTTGACCAGAATTGAATCTACAACCTGTCAGGCTGCTGGCTGCAGGCCAATACTCTAACCACTGAGTTACCAGCCAGGGGCTGACATTTCTAAAGTTATTCGGTGTGCTTAAAATAAAATTAGAGGAGATATTTTGAATAAAATTAAAGGTTTTAATATTGAAAGTAGAAATATTATGGAATTTTCACTGGAAATTCTGTTTAGGATTTAGCTTCCATTTTGCAGCATTTACTATTTAAAGGATTATGTTCTTTTTTTTTTCTTTTTCTTTTTTAAATTTTCTTACAAGAGGAAGGGAGAAGGATAGAGAGTTAGAAATATCGATGAGAGCCGGGACCGGTTTGGCTCAATGGATAGAGCGTCGGCTTGGGGACTGAAGGGTCCCGGGTTCGATTCCTGTCAAGGGCATGTACCTTGGTTGCGGGCATATCCCCAGTAGGGGGTGTGCAAGAGGCAGCTGGTCAATGACTCTCTCATCGATGTTTCTAACTCTCTCTCTCTCTCCCTTCCTCTCTGTATAAAGTTAATAAAATATATATTAAAAAAAAAAGAAAAAGAAATATCGATGAGAAAGCAACATGGGGACTGAAGGGTCCCGGGTTCGATCAGGTGCCTCCTGCACACCCCCCACTGGGGATGTGCCCGAAACCAAGGTACATGACCTTGACCGGAATCGAACCTGGGACCTTTGAGTCCGCAGGCCGAGGCTCTCTCCACTGAGCCAAACTGGTTTTGGCAAAGGGTTACGTTCTTAATAAAGGCTTTTGAAAGTTTGTTTTACTTTCCATCTAATTAAAACTTCTTTTGCCATTCCTAGGTACAGGAAAAACACTGTTGGCACGAGCTGTTGCTAGCCAGCTAGACTGCAATTTCTTAAAGGTAAAGGAAAGACCCTTTTTTGTAGATGTTGAAATTAAATTTTCTTTGAATTAACTTATGTTTACCTTAATGTTTTTTCTTTAACCAGGTTGTGTCTAGTTCTATTGTAGACAAGTACATTGGTGAAAGTGCTCGTCTGATCAGAGAAATGTTTAATTATGCCAGAGACCATCAGCCATGCATCATTTTTATGGATGAAATAGATGCTATTGGTAAGAGTAACTTGTTTTTTTCTTTTTATCCTCGTCCGAAGAAGGGAGAGGAAGGGAGATATCTATGTTAACACCAATCGTTGCCTCCTGTTTCCTCCTGGACTGGAAATCGAACCTGTCATCTTTCGGTGTCCAGGACGATGCTCCAACTGCCTGAGCCACCAAATCAATGCAAAAATTACATCTTTAAAAGTTTATTTTAAACTTTTCTTGAAAGTGTTAGGAAATTTTTTTTTAATCTAAAAGAACTTTATTCTCTCGCCTTTCATTGAAACTTCTATGAAGTAACTAAATGAATTGAATGTTATCTTTTTAAAATTCTTAAAATTTAGCCAATTTTAATGCATAACCTTTGACATTGAAAAATAAGAAATGTGCCGAAACCGGTTTGGCTCAATGGATAGAGCGTCGGCTTGGGGACTGAAAGGTCCCGGGTTCGATTCCGGTCAAGGGCATGTACCTTGGTTGCAGGCATATCCCAAGTAGGGGGTGTGCAAGAGGCAGCTGATCGATGACTCTCTCTCATCGATGTTTCTAACTCTCTATCTCTCCCTTCCTCTCTGTACAAAATCAATAAAATATATTTTAAAAAAATAAATAAATAAGAAATGTTATACTAAAATCATTGACTTTGTCAGTATAATTCTTACCACTTAATTTTCACCTCAATGGTTTTAACCATAGTCATATTCTGTCTTAAATGATGTTTATAAAAGAAAAGAGTAATGCATATGAAATTCCATGTCATTTTTTTAGGTGGTCGTCGGTTTTCCGAGGGGACTTCAGCTGATAGAGAGATTCAGAGAACTTTAATGGAGGTAATATTTGGTAAAGGGATTTTATAAAGAAGTAAATGTTTATTGAATAAAGAAGTGAACATTGAATAATTGAAGGTCAAATATGTACAATTTAAATGAAGAATATACTTAAGTATGAAATTTGAAAATACTGCCAGGAGTAAACACATTTCTCCACATATATTTATAGTAAGAAAATAACTACAGGAAAATAAGAAAGGTATCTACAAAATGCTTATTTGATGTATAGATGTACTGTTCTGTGCCATTTAGATAATTTAAATTGTATATTGTACTAGTTTTGTGAATGTGATCTTACATTAGTTTATTAAGACATTTTATATCAATGGACTTAGTGAAACTGGTGGCAATAAATGAGTTACGATTATGTATGAGGCTGCTCTAAAAATCACTAATATTTTCCTCATTATATTGCTGAGAATGAGAGGAAATTTTATTAATTGAAGAAGATGGATAGTAGGATATTAGAAGGCATCATAAAGCCTTTCTCCACTCAAAAATCTGAAAGTGATAGCACAATCCTAAATACATTTCTCACTTCTACAAATAGAAGCTAGATAGCATAGGAACTCATTTGCTCACAAGATAAACTATTTTAAAATTATAGAGTCTCTTAGAAACCTTAAATTGAGGTATTTTAAAACAACACTGATACTAGTTTTTATTTTTATCTATTTATTTTTTTAATTGATTTTTTACAGAGAGGAAGAGAGAGGGAAAGAAAGCTAGAAACATCGATGAGAGAGAAATATCAACCAGCTGCCTCCTGCACACCCACCAACGGGATGTGCCCGCAACCAAGGTACATGCCCTTGACCAGAATTGAACCTGGGACCTTTCAGTCCGCAGACCGACACTCTATCCACTGAGCCAAACTGTTCCGGCAACTCTGATACTAGTTTTATTCATTAAATTTCTATGTTAGCTAACGTATTTTGTGAAAGAAATAGACATCTGGGCTAGCTGTATTTTAAAAAGTTTGTTGACTGCAGTTAGGTTTTCAACATTTATTCAGGAAAACTTTAGGAATCAAAGAAAAAATGTGTAGTGTCTCATATTTCTATCTATAGTAGAGTTATTTGAAAAGATATTTAATGAATTTCAGATTTGTAGAATAATCATTATATCCAGTTGTCCTAATGTAAATTTTGTCAGACACACCATAAGCACTTTATATGTTAGATTTTATGAATTAGTTTTTATTTTTAAAAGTAACTACGGTAAGTGAATCAGATCCACATAATTTTTTTATAATTAGTAAAACTATAAATATTATAGCTATAGTGAAATAATCCTGAAACTTTGAGGATAGAAAATATATTTTGTAATATAAGAGAGAAAAAATTAGGTTCATAAAATGATGATTTCTAAGGTAATCTGTAGGCAATACATGGTATTAGGCATATAAAAGTTGTGCCTGTATATTTTTTAATGATTGCAATGTTTTGTAAAATCTGTCTGTAATTTTTATTTATAAATATATTCTTAGTTACTGAATCAAATGGATGGATTTGATACTCTACATAGAGTTAAAATGATCATGGCTACAAACAGACCAGATACACTGGATCCTGCTTTGCTTCGTCCAGGAAGATTAGATAGAAAAATACGTGAGTTAAGGCTCTTTACTTGCTGTCCATTTCCCTTTGTTTATGTTCAGTTCTCTTTCTTCCTTTTTTTTATATATATGTTTTTATTGATTTCAGAGAGGAAGGAAGAGGGAGAGAGATATAGAAACATCAATCAGTGATAAGAGAGAATCATTGATTGGCTGCCTCCTGCACAACCCTACTGGGAATGAAGCCTGCAGCCCAGGCATGTGCTGTTGGCTGGAATCTAACCTGGAACCTTTCAGTCCGCAAACCAACGCTCTATCCACTGAGCCAAACATATCCACTGAGCCAAACCGACTAGAGCAGTTCTCTTTCTATTATTCTTCCTCACGCCCTACTTTATTTAAAAACAAAAACAAGCAAAACTGACTGCAAAAGAATTTCTTAAAATTTCTTATTTTCAGATATTGACTTACCAAATGAACAAGCAAGACTAGATATATTGAAAATCCATGCAGGTCCCATTACAAAGCATGGTGAAATAGGTAAGAAAATATACTTACATTTGGTAAATGAAGCAAAATGCTATGGTATATCATTGGTAGCCTTTTGAATCTAGTTTTAAATTTAGCAAACATAGTGGTCTTTTTGGCTAATATTTATTGACCGTTAACTGTATGTCAGTAATTGTTTTATGTGCTGGGGATATAGCTGTGAATAAAACTGACAAATTTGTGCCTTTGTAGAACTTATATTTTTGTCAGGAACGACAAAGTGGATAAAATATATAGTATATTAGATGATGATAAGTTCTATGGAGAAAAAAAATACAGCAAAAAGGGAGACTAATGCCAGGAGCAGGAGTGTGTGTGTGTGTGTGTGTGTGTGTGTGTGTGTGTGTGTTTAAATGGAAGTGGGGATGGGGAAGGCCTTAACAAAAGGTTGATTTTTAAGCAATGACCTGCAAAGGTGAAGGAGCTGGATAGGAATATTTGGGGGGAAATCACGCAGAGGAAGTAGCAAGTAAGAAGACTTTAAAGCAGACATATGTCTGGAACATTCTAGGGGCAGCAAAGAGGCCAAAGTATCTGTAGCAGAATAAATGGGACTTTAATAGTAAGTGAAATAATACAAGTAATAAGGTCCATATTGTGTAGAGCCTTATTGATGCAATCCTGTAGGAACTTTGAATTTTATTTGTGAAGATATGGATGCCATTGGAGGATTGTAAGGGAATGATTTTATTTTGTTATTTTTTAACTTTTTATTGTAGAAAATTAGAAATACACCAAAGAAGAGATAAGAGTATAATGAACTTCTAATCCTAGGTACTCACTCATCCCCCAGCCTCAATAATTATTAACCCTTTACAGATTAACTGTCTTATCTGTAACCTCTTTGGATGTATTTTTACCTTACCTTCTTTGGATATATTTTTAAAATAGAGGTGACAGAATTTGGTAATGAACTGGTTGGTGGAGTATGAACTAAAGGGAAGAACCAGGGAAGACCTAGGTTTTTTACTCATATAACTGAAATATTGAAGTTAACATCAATAAAAATAGGGAAGACAGGAAAAATTAGGTTTTAAGGGGAGTATGAGTTTAATTCTGGGTATATTAAATTTGAGATGCCTATTCGATATCCAAATAAAGATATTGATTAGTAATTTTATATGCATCAATATAGAAGTTCTTTGGGGGTGGTCTGTGCTGGAGATACAAATGAGAATAATAGCATAAAAATGATTGTTAAATCTTGAGATGAGATCAGATTTCTGAGGAAGTGAATGTGGATAGAGAAGAGCTTCAAAAACTGAGCTAATTCTGACATTAGAAAGTTGAGATGCAGAACCATTAAAGGAGATGACAAAGGTGTCCCAGAGGCAGGAATAGAACCAGAAGCTGGTGGTGTCCCGAAGATGAATGAATGGTTAAAAGGAGGGATTAATTCCCTGTCAAATGCTGACAGTGGGTTAGATAAGAAGAGTTCTGAGAATGGACCTTTGGATTTTTGGAGATCATTGGTGACCTTATCAAAAGCAGTTTTGTTGGGATAGTGGGAATTGGGAATGAAAGCCTACTTCAGATGGGGTTTCAGAGATATTGGGAGGAGTGACATTGAGTGTAGACATTTCTTTCAAGGAGATCTATAGGAAAGGGGAGAAGAGAAGTAGAGCTATGTCAGAAACGGAGATGAGGATTTGGGGGCGTTTTCTTTTAAGATACGAGAATTTAATTTTTGTGCTGATGGGATCTGGGAAAACGAGAAATAGTGCAGTTTCCTTGAAGAGGAGTTGGCACTGTCTAAGAATATAGACTTCATTTATAAGAATAGGAGGAAAGGCAGAATATTATAGATGCTGAGATGACAGGTTCTCAAATATGGCAGGAACTTGGTAGAATTTTTGTTCTGAATGCTTTTATTTTCTAAATGAAATAGGAAGTTCAGAGTGAAGATTGGAAAGGAGTTAGAGATTTGAGAACAGAGGACAAGTTATAAAATAGATTTCTAAAGATTTGAGAGACTAGACTAGGGTAGAGGCCAGCAAACCATGGCTTATAGGCCAAATCCTTTCTGCCTTCTGTTTTTGTAGAATAACAAAATTAATTTGTAAATTTATAACACAACCATTTATCTGTATTTTGTCTATGATTGCTTTTCCACCATAAAAGAAGAAATTAGTAGTTGTTTTTTCTTTCTTTAATCCTCACCCAAGGATATGCTTTTGATTTTTAGAGAGAGAGAGAGAGAGAGAGAGAAATATCAATGTGTGAGAGAAACGTTGATGGGTTGCCTCTGACAGGATCAATCCTGCAACCCAGTTATATGCCCTGACTGGGAATCGAATCCATAACCTTTTGGAGTATGGATGATCTCCATCCAACTGAACCACCCAGCCAGGGCAGAAATGAGTAGTTTTGACAGAGACCATATGGCCTGCAAAGCCTAAAAAATATTTATTATCTGGCTCATTACAGAAGTATGCTGACCCCTGGACTATGGAAATCTAGTAATTATACTAAAAGCCCTTTAGAAATTAATGGTCCAGAATAATTACAAATAATTGATTACTGCCTCTTAATTTTTTCATTGCTCATATGAAAGAATTTCAAGCTGTAAAGATGAACTGAACTAAAAATATCAATTTATAGGTTTCTTCCGATACTGAGCTCTTGCTAGGAAATGACTATTTTCAGGAAGTTTATAATTTGGACCTGATTGAACTAATTAGTGAATTATCTATATGATTGATTTATTTTTATTGATTTCAAAGAGGAAGGGTGAGGGAGAGAGGGATAGAAACTTCAATGATGAGAGAGAACCATTGATGGCTGCCTGCACCTGCATGCCCCACACTCGGGATTGAGCTCACAGCCTGGGCATATGCCCCAGCTGGGAATCGAACCGTGACTTCCTGGTTCATTGGTGGAGGTTCATCCACGTTGGCTGGGATATCTGTATGATTTCTAATAGAGACTGACATACTCTAGATTGCCTGATAAAGGGTGTCCCATCAGAGTTACTCACATTGTAGCAGTCTATGCCGACTCTTATTTCTTTCCCTATTCCATTGCAAGTCCATTACTGCTGTCAGTTCTTCATTTTAAGTCTGTCATGTGAATAGAAAAGTCACTTAATAGTCCCTTTGTTATCATAGATCTGATACCACGTGGAGCCTATACAAAAGTCAGAAAAGCTACCTGTGCTTAATTTAGCATTTGAAAACTCCATATGATAAAACTATATCTGATGTCTATTTTTGGTATACTTATATTTCGCTTATGATATTAAATTCCATTGTTGCTACAGTTGATTTTGGTGTCTTGGTTTACTCAAATTGTATATTTGGTAAAAGTTTTAATGAGTTATATCTTGACAGATAATCTGAAGTTCACATGTGTATAACTTTCACTGCATAAAAACAGATTAAGATGTTTACTGAGGATGTTTCTTGGTTTTAAAGTTTCAGAAGTATATTTATTTCTTCTTGGTGTTGGTTTACTTAACAGAATTTAGTTTTTGGTTGTTAGTATTGTATAATGTTAACAGAGATAATGCCTAGCTGATCATATTCAAAGTAGGCTCTTCAGTTTAAATTTTCCATTTACGAGCATAAATCAAAAACAGATCTTTTTTAAAAAATTAATTTCCAGTGCTTTTTTCTAACCAGATTATGAAGCAATTGTGAAGCTTTCAGATGGTTTTAATGGAGCAGACCTGAGAAATGTTTGTACTGAAGCAGGTATGCTTTTAAAGTATATATTTTGCTATTGATTTGATTTAATTCGCTTCAAATGTGTTGAGTTTGTCTACAAGCAGAGCCTGGGCTTTGTAAGGAGTTGGGTGCTTGTTTTTTTTGTTTGTTTGTTTTTTTTAGTGGGGAGGAATGATTCCAAGAAGCAGGAGGGGGAACAGGGCATGTGAGATGGGAAAAGGGAATGCTATTATAAGAGTGCAACATTGAGGTAGCTGCTCTAGGCAAGGAGGTGGGGGGGAGACTAATTTTGATGAAATCCAGAGAAACATACCAGAATGCCATTTAGCATTACCCAGCTGAAATATTTGGGAGATGGGCATTTATTTACCAGCCCTCACCCCCGTTGGATTAGATTTGCCTTGGGAATGTTAATTCTTTTCCACTTCTGGATGCCTAGGGTAGAGTGTGGAAAGACATGCATGTGATAGAATACTGGTCCTCTGAAGTGAGTCTGAGGCTATACAAATCTGTGCACCCACACCCGTGGCTGAAATGAGACTAGGTCAGCACCAGAGGAATCTGCTCCAATGTTTTCTCATGCTAGTCTGTTAGCTTTGAAAGATTGATTTATGAGTTTTGTGTTCATAAAACTTGTGTAAATGTAATTATTTTAAATATAATTTTCTCTATGGTTGTGTGATCTTGTTTTTATTTCTGGTACCAAGTGGCTTTAAAACCCCATATAAGTGTCAGTTGGTCTTTGTCCTACACACACACACACACACACACACACACACACACACACACACAAAAAGATTTCTGTGATAAGTGTTACAATATGTGATTTCCTCTTTTTCCATATCACCTTTGGCCTTATTTTAACATTTCTTATAAATTCACACAGTATTTAAAGGCATGGCTTTTTCATAAGAGTATCTTTGTGGGTATACTCGACTCTGTATCTGAATCAGAGATCTTCAGATCTAGAAACTCAGTATGAATCAGAATAAATCATGCTCACAGAGACTTAATAATGAACAAACATAATATTTAAGAGGTAAACTATCATGTGGTTTGAACTACTTGAAGTAATTTATGACATTCTCTTTCCAAAATCTCCACTGACCAAATTATCAAAAGATTGTTTTAATTAAAATGGAATCCAAACAAAAGTCTCATCCCCCATTGCATTAGATTTGTCCTTGGGAATGTCATAATTTTAAAGTCTGATGTCATCAAATCATGATGATCTCCATTTTTTCAACATATATAACAGGATGATTTTTAGCTATTTCCAGCAATGCTTTTAGCTTTTTAACGGTGGAACATTCATATCTGGAGACATATTGAAATTCTTTGGAGTATTTTTGTTAACATATCTTCCTGTAGGTTAAAATATACTATATTCAATATCTCAGATTCACTCATTTATTATACTAAACAATGATTTGGATTCACAAGGTTTGGAAAAATAACTTGCTTAATTTAGTTTTAGCCTTCTAGACAAGTTTTAAAACTTCAGTATTAAAAAAAATAAGTTATTTCTGCTCACCTGATTTCTGAAGACAACATAGAGTAGCTATTTTCATGACTCCTTGTAATTAGAAATCTTGAAAGGGAAGATGATAGGAATTAACCCTTGAAATCTTCTATTCAAACCCACTCATTTTACATGAGTAAAAATTCAATATAAGCAGATCCTCAATGAAAATATTAGTAGGATTCACTTAATTAGTAAACTAAGGATACCTAATTGGCTTTAGCTTATGAAATTAGGATCCTCTCAAAACCTGGGATCCATGACACAACTACATAATGTTAAAAAGAAAAACACAAACAAAAAACTTTTACCCCTTTGTCAGTTATTATTTGACAAGTAACTTGTCGAAAACTTAAAGGAAAAAATTGAATTATGATACTTGAATAGGGAAGTCACAATATCAATTTGTATATAATTAGGGTAATTTTAATACATGAATAATGGCATTGAGTTTTGTTAAAGCGTACTGTTCACTTTCTAAAAATTCCTATTCTCTAACCTTTTGATTATAACAAGTCAGGGCTATATGAATTACTGGAGGTATTTTGTACTTTCCCAAACCATACATGGGTTACTTCCTTCTAAGGAATTGCTACTTGTAGAATTAAGAAACTGATGTTTAAAATGTGTATGTTTTGTTTATAGTTGGATTTTGTGGAAATCCCTTTCACATCCTGCGTGGTTCAGGGTTTCTGTTCGGGTTCTAGGGAAGGCTGCACACAATGAAAGAGACTAGAAAAGTACTAATTTGGGAATATTGGGGGCCAGGCAGGAGCCTACCTCTGGTGGGAGGACTACCGCCTAACTTTGGCCTTGCCATCCCTTTTATTTAGGTTTGGGATATACCCATTGCCCTTAGACAGGTAATTCCAGTAACAGGCAGATTATCTTCCATGACTATTTGGTGGGGAAGTTGCCTCGTTGACTTTGACCTTTCAGAGCTTAAAAGTTGACCAGCCTTCCAGGTTCCCTGTCCACATCTCTCTATTACTCTCTATTAGTGGGACAATGATCTGTTTCCGGCAGGATTTTGTTTTGATTTTTTTCTTTTACTTTTTTTAATATATTTTATTTATTTATTTATTAACAGAGAGGAAGGGAGAGGGATAGAGAGCTAAAAACATCAATGAGAGAGAAACATTGGTCAGCTGCCTCTTGCACACTCCCTACTACAGGGATGTGCCTGCAACCAAGGTACATGCCCTTGACCGGAATCGAACCTGGGACCCTTGAGTCCACAGGCTCTATCCACTGAGCCAAACTGGTGAGGGCTGTTTTGATTTTTTTCAAGATGCCATTGGATACAGGGGTTGTGTGATTTGGTTTTTAAATATTCAGATAATTATCTTGCTTTCTAACTTTTGATTTGGAAAATAATGTTCACAAGAGCTGGAAATTCATTGAACAGTGATAGTGATTTTTAACAAATCAGAACTGCTTATTCAGAAGTAGTAAATCAAGGCTCCTTCAGTTTTACTCCATAGAATTACATTATTTAGTTTTCTTATAATAAATTAGAGGCCCAGTGCATGAAATTCATGCATGCATAAGGTCCCTAGGCCTGGCTAGTGATCAGAGCTGATCTGCAGAGTGACCGGTGTGGCAATCATGGGGCCCCTGCTAGCACCCGCCTTGGCCAGTCTGGAGCTGCCTGCTCGCCAGCCTCACCACTGCCACTGGTCACCTTCCTCTGGGGGGCGGTCAGGGGAGGAGGCCCCCCACTGTCACCTGCCATGGCTGGCCTGGGGCCTGTGGGCTGGAGGGAGCTCCTGCGTCGAGGGTCTGCCCCCTGGTGGTCAGTGCATGTCATAGCGACCAGTCATTCCTCCAGTTGTTCTGCTGTTTGGTCAATTGCCCATTAGGCTTTTATTATATAGGCATAGAGGCCCAGTGCATGAAATTTGTGCATAGGGAGGGGAGGTAGTGTCCCTCAGCCCAGCTTGCACCCTTTCCAATCTAGGGCTCCTTGAGGGATGTTGGACATCCCTCTCACAATCCAGGACTGCTGGCTCCCAACTGCTCACCTGCCTGTCAGCCTGATCACCCCTAACCACTCCCCTGCCAGCCCGATCAACGCCTAACTGCTCCTCTGCTGACCTGATTGCCCCTAACTGCCCTCCCTTGCCACCTGGTCTCCCCTAACTTTTCTCCCTTGCTGGCCTGGTCACCCCCAACTGACTTTCCCTGCAGGCCTGTTCCTCCCAACTATCCTCTCCTGCTGGCTGGTCCCTCCCAACTGCCAACCCTGCTGGCCTGGTCATCCCTAACTGTCCTCCCTTGCCAGCCTGGTCCCTCAACTGCCCTCCCCTGCAGGTCCAGTCACTCCCAACTGTCCTTCCTTACAGGCCTGGGTCCCTCTCAATTGTCATCCCCTGTAGGCCTGTGTCCCCTCATCCCCCCCAACTGTCCTTCCCTGATTGCCCCCAACTACTCTCACTTGCAGGCCTGGTCCCTCCCAATTGCTCTCCCCTGCTGGCCATCTTGTGGTGGCCATCTTGTGTCCACATGGGGGCGGCCATCTTGTGTGTTGGAATGATGGTCAGTTTGCATATTACTTTTTTATTAAATAGGATAATTCACATATTTTATAAAGCAGTCATGTTATTTTATTTTCCACAGGTATGTTTGCAATTCGTGCTGATCATGATTTTGTAGTACAGGAAGACTTCATGAAAGCAGTCAGAAAAGTGGCTGATTCTAAGAAGCTAGAGTCAAAATTAGACTACAAACCTGTGTAATTTATTGTGAGGATTTTGATGGCTGCATGACAGACATTGGCTTAATGTAAAAATAAAGTTAAGAAAAATAATGTATGTATTGGCAATGATCTCATTCAAAGTCATGAATAAAAATATATGTGAGTAACAAAAATTAGTAACTCAGTATTTGTACTTTTAAGATTGGTACAGAAGAAATTTGTATGTTTGTTAATGTTGCATTTATTGCAGCAGAAGTTATAAGTGTTATAACTTTTCATATTTGTTGTGTGAGCATTTTGTAAAACATTGAAAATGGTTTGAGATAGTAGTACATTTCTATGACTTATTTTATATCATTTATTTTCTTCATCCTAAAAAGTTGAATAAAATCTGTTTGATTCAGTTCTACATATATTTTTGTCTTTTATAAAAGTACACTTACTATAGTCTTTAAGGTTCTTTATTTAGTAAGTAAACTATTTAATAACCAAGATAAAGTTGTATTTAGGTCAGGGGTAGGGAACCTTTTTCCCCCCCCAAGGGCCATTTGGATATTTAAAACATCATTCCCAGGCCATATAAAATTATCAACTTAAAAATTAATTGTTAATTTGGCCAAACATTTAATTAACTCATCCCTAATGCCTTGGCAGGGCCAGACATTCCCTAACCCTGATTTAGATTGTTGGCTCTTTAATTTTATTTCAAAACAGTATCCACGCTGTTTTCATAACAGCATCTTACCATGTTTCATGTCTATATACCTCCTTTCAGAAAATCTTTAATTTTCACCTACTGTAACTAGGCTCTATAATAGTTAATTGAAATAGAACAAGCACATCCATAACCTTGTAGATTATAATTCAAAGTAATATTTGCTAATAAACATGACTTGGTTTTCTTAGGTTATATGAGAAGATAGCTCCCTTTTTGAGAAGTTACAGTCTGGGCCCTCTTCCCAGAAAAGTTGGCACATAAGTATACATAATTTTGCGCATGCTACAACTTAAGATTTATTTTTCCCGAGTTCGTTCATGGACTCCATAGGTATCTGGATATCAGGCTGAGTGTCTGATGTAGGGGATGTTAATGTCAGAAGTGTTCGGAACGAAAGTTCTGTTACCTATACACAGTTCTTTCTCATATCATGTGACAATTAAAGATTTAACATTACAATAGGAAATCATCATTGGTCATCTATTAAGATTATCTTACTAAAGTTGCTAAAAAAAAGAAACTTGGCTTCAGTTTCATAAACACGAAAAACAAACATGACCTGGGTAATTAGTTATACAATCATTTTTCAAATTAAAAACTTACTAACAGAGCTCAGGCTGGTGCAGCTAAGAGTTCAGAGCTTTGGCTTGCGCACTGAAAGGTCTTGGGTTTGATTATTGGTCAAGGGCAAGAACCTGGATTGTATCTTCAATTCTTGCCTAGTTGGGCGGATTTGAGAGGCAACCACTGGATGTGTCTCATATTTCTCCCTTCTTCCCCTTCCCTCCCTCCCTTTTCCTCCCTCCCCTTCTCTCCCTCCTTCCCTCCCTCTCTCCTTCCCCTTCCCTTCTTCCCTCCCTCCCCTTCCCTCCTTCCCTCCTTTTCCCTCCCTTCCACTTTAAAAACCAATGGAAAAAAATATCTTCCAGTGAGGATTAATACAAACAAAATTAGCAGTGTATTGCATGCCTTTTTATAACTTTAAAAAAACATTACAGCCGAAACCGGTTTGGCTCAGTGGATAGAGCGTCGGCTTGGGGACTGAAGGGTCCCGGGTTCGATTCCGGTCAAGGGCATGTACCTTGGTTGCGGGTATATCCCCAGTAGGGGGTGTGCAAGAGGCAGCTGATCGATGACTCTCTCTCATCGATGTTTTTAACTTGCTATCTCTCTCCCTTCCTCTCTGTACAAAACCAATAAAATATATATTTAAAAAACAAACAAAAAAAAACATTACATAGTAGAAAAAAATGGATTGCTGAAGCTAGCCATCTAAAACTCAAAACTATCGAACAGTTCCATTTCTGTCTATATGTTGACTGTGTTTCATAAATATGACAATATAAAAAGTAATAGGATATTTGTGTTGGTGGGTCTAGGGCAAATATCCATGTGATTTTTTTTTTTTTTTTTTTTTTTTTTTACTTTATCCATTGTAAGTTGCAATTTAATAAATGACTTTCTTTTTTACTTTGGTGGTGATTGATTTTTCAGGAATCAGTTTGGTATACAAACCTTAAATATTTAAGTGTGGGTTCTTCTAAGCTTGATTTTCCTCATCTGTTTAAATACAAAAAGGATAACAATATCTCCCTACGTCCAGAGAGAACATCATATACCTAATCTTTATTAACAATATAGTATTTACTCTGGGTCCTTTTTATTTATTTTTAAAAATATATTTTATTGATTTTTTTACAGAGAGGGATAGAGAGTTAGAAACCGATGAGAGAGAAACATTGATCAGCTGCCTCCTGCACACCCCCCTCTGGGGACGTCCCTACAACCAAGGTACATGGGCTTGACCAGAATTGAACCTGGGACCTTTCAGTCCGCAGGCCGATGCTCTATCCACTGAGCCAAACCGGTCTCGGCGCTCCAAGTCCTTTTTAAAAGATACTGCAAGCCATCTAGGTTATCATCATTTGAAATATTCATACACTTCAAAGTAAAGGGAGAGACCTTTCTTCAGTATTAAGTACAATTTACTGAGTTACCAATTCCATTTCTTACGATTTTTTTCCTTTTACCATTTCTTGAGCTTTTCTAGTTGTCATATACCTAAGCCCACCATTTCAATTTGCTTAAGAATGATGGGTGTTTCATTTTTTTGTGTAGCATAATTTTAGGATGAAGGCTTTCCTTACTCCTGGTTGTAACCTCACCACAGATTGCGCAGTATTCTGAGAAGGGGGAAACTATGGTTTTCCTTTCAGATTCCAGCTACTGGTGGCTGGGATGTATTGGCCATTCTTTTTTATTTATTTATTTAATATATTTTATTGATTTTTTCACTGAGAGGAAGAGAGAGGGATAGAGAGTTAGAAACCGATGAGAGAGAAACATTGATCAGCTGCCTCTTGCACACCCCCTACTGGGGATGTACCTGCAACCAAGGTACATAACAGGAATCGAACCTGGGACCTTTCAGTCCGCAGGCCGACGCTCTATCCATTGAGCCAAACCGGTTTTGGCTTGGTCATTTTTATACCAAAGGAGAGATTCGCTTCTGACTGGAAAGGGCCCGCTGTTGTGGATGGTCCTCCTGCCTTTCCCAGGACCTTCAGCTGTCCCCGCCCTCCTGCCGCAGCCCCGCCTCCTCCGCGCCCGGTGAGCTCCGCACCGGCCCTCCGAGGCCCCGCCCCCTGCGGCTGCGCCGGCGCGAAGAGGCGGGGCGGCGCGCTGACACCTGGCGGCCGCGGGGGCGGGCCGAAGGCGAGCGTGCGCCGGGATTGGCTGGGGCGGGGCGGGGCGGGGAGGGCCGGAGGAAACGGGAAGACGGTTGTGGGGCTCGTGGTGGTGCCCAAGTCTGGGCGGCCCGTGGGGCGCGAGCACTCCGGGGGAGGGAAACCGCAACAGCATGGCGGCCGGGGATGAGCCGCCCAGCCCTCCGCTGCCCCTCTGTCGCCGCCGCCGCCGCCGGAGTCGCCGGGACCCTCTGGTCTGCGCGTGTCCGTTGTAAGGCCTCTCGCTGCCGCCCGCCAGCCCTCGGCGCACCGGCCCGCCTTCCTCTACCGCCGCCGCCAGCCCCACGGTCGGGCTGGCGAATCACTCGACTCCCACCCCACCCACCAGTCCGCCGGCCGGGATCATGGAGGACGTGAAGCTGGAGTTCCCCTCGCTCCCGCAGTGCAAAGAGGACGCCGAGGTAAGTGTGCCGCTGGCCGCCACGCACAGGCCGAGGGGAGTCCCAGGCGCCGGCCCGGAGCCTCTCGCTCGGGGGAGGTGGGCACTCGCCCCGGCTCCGTTCCTGCCCTCCCCAGGCGCCGGCCGAGAGCCTGGGTCTGCGGTAGTTAATTTATAATGAGTCTCCCCCACCCCAAGTCAGCGTCCAGGACTTGTCTTGGATTAAGTTCCCCTTTTACGGCCAAAGCAATACGAGGGAAATGTTGCTTTTCATCTCAATTTGAGGGATAGCTTTGGTGTCATCTATTTCACTTGTGGGACGCAGGTGGACTAGATACGGGGTTTGACGTTCAAAATGCTCCTTTGGGAAAGTTCCCCAAAGTAGTTGTTTTTGTTTTTGTTTTTGTTTGTTTTGAGGCAAAGCTACAAAGATGGCTTATTTGAATCTGAACTCTTGCCCTTTGGAGGGAAGTATAATAATAAAATTCTTATAACTTGGTCTCCTGATTTCTAATTTGGGGTTCTTTTTATAACCCACTTTACTTTTCCCCCGTCTAACTTTTGTATTGAGGTGTGTGTGTGTGTGTGTGTGTGTTTTACCCCACCTATTGCTTATTTCAAATGTATTGCAGAATACTAAACTAGGATTTTCTGAAATCTAAAATTAGTAACAGGTCAAGGCATGCCTTAGCACGATCAAGAAAGAAAGAAGTCTAAAATTTCTAGTTTTCAATATCTTAAAAGTAATTGGAAAAAAACTATATTTTTAAGAGACCATTAAGTTTATACCAAGTATTTATTCTGTTGAATATCTTCATTTGGGGCTCACAGGTTGTTGTTTTTTTTTGTTTTTTTGTTTTTTTTGTGTTTTTTTAATATGTTTTATTTTTTTTTAAACATTTTTTATTTTATTTTATTTTTTTATGTATTTTATTGATTTTGTACAGAGAGGAAGGTAGAGAGATAGAGAGTTAAAAACATCAATGAGAGAGAGTCATCTATCAGCTGCCTCTTGCACACCCCCTATTGGGAATATGCCCGCAACCAAGGTGCATGCTCTTGACCGGAATCGAACCCGGGTCCCTTCAGTCCCCAAGCCGACGCTCTATCCATTGAGCCAAACCGGTCTTGGCTTTAATATGTTTTATTGATTTTTTTTTTTTACAGAGAGGAAGGGAGAGTGAGAGAGAGAAACATTGATGAGAGAGAAACATCGATCAGCTGCCTCCTGCACACTCCCTACTGGGGATGTGCCTGCAACCAAGGTACATGCCCTTGACTGGAATCAAACTTGGGACCCTTGAGTCTGCAGGCCACTGAGCCATTCTTTTTGTTTGAGGGATCTTTTGCTTGTTGTAGTGATCCTTGAGATTTGCATGTTTTCAGAATAGATTCTTTTCTTTCTTACATTCTTATTGATTTGAGAGAGAGAGAGGAAGGAAGAGGGAGAGAAACATCAATTCGTTGTTCCATGTACTTATGCATTCATTGGTTGATTTATGGTATGTGCCCTGACCAGGGATGGAACCCACAACCTTGGTCTAAGGGGAGGACGCTCTAACCAA